TTACTCTGCAGAAGACTGAGGACAAAAAAAATTATATGTAGCAAAACTATAATATAATGGTAAATTGGTATTAAAGGTACTGGTTGGATACTTTCATATCTTAGTGGTCTGACAAAGCGCTAGAAGCAAAGCATTTTACACGTAAGGTAAGCCAGCTAAATACTGAGCTATGTCAGAAAGAGCAAGTGCAAAACAGATTACTGAATGGAACAGAAATGTATACATCAACAGAACAGTCCCATACACAATTATTTTTCATATTTACCTTTTTTCAAAATAGGTCAAAATAAAAATAAAAGGAATTAAAAGACAGACAACAACTAATTATGGCTTGGAAAGGTCATTGGGGCATACATAGAAAAAAAATAAAGATGTAGTCTCATAAAATCAAATTGAGAATGGAAGGAAAGGGTGTAAAGATCAATAAGTGTATTAACATGTAGCAGAGCCAGCACTCTGCAACAGTGGACCTGCATCTAATTCTTAGTTTGTCTGCCCAAACCTAGTGCATAAATCTCATTGGAAATTTGATTTTTTTTTTAATTCTGTGCCTTTTAGCTGTAGTCTTAAGCTATAAGATACTTTGTCTTCCCTGCACTGAATGTCTTCAGCGCCCGTCTATGTAAATTGTGCACAATGCTTTTGGCTTGATCCTTCTCCTCTTGGTTTGTAACTGAGTAGTAGTATGCCCATAGAATAGGAACCTAAATGAAAAATCTCCGAACACGTGCTGCTATTTAGTTCATTAAATAATAGCTTGCAAGCTAATTCATACTCAGATGAGACAAGTCTGGGAGAAAAAACAAAAAAAAAAAAAAAAAAAACATACCAATAAGTAATGAATTTAGGAACTGAAAAAATTAAAATATCTCAAAAACACTATAGGTTAGATGCAAACCTTTTAAGGTTCATTACTTTTTAATATATTCTCTCTGATACACTTCACTTAGTACTGATGCAGGCTGTTGTAGTCTTGTCAGTGAATGATAAAACAGTTCAATTACCCTTTCTTTGTGGATCTGGAAAGTATACTAAAGTGTGCTTCAGAACTGCTAGGAGAAAGGTTTAGCAAAAGTTCTGGTTTATTGTCAAAAATAATTTTATTGGGAGCTAACTAGTTGATAAAGCTTCTTACTTCATTTTTGTCAGGCGATAAAGCAATTCTGCTGCATCTTTATGAAGGTATTTTAGCATGACTCTTAAGCTGAGAAGTTAATGCTCATGTTGTCCACTGGTTTGTGCCTCCAGTAGCTCTTGAAGAGAATGGCAGCACTCAACCAAACGTCACCGAGGAGGGGAAGTTTCCAAGTCAGTGACCTTTGTGCTCGCTAAGAAGCGGGTGTCTAGGAGAAAAGAAAGATCTGAATAGTTGTGTTCCATGAAGCAAGAGCAGAACTTGACAGCTGAAAAGGGGCTGTTCAGGTCTGCACCCCATAGCTGGAGGTAACAAGCAGTATTCCACTGCCATGGGGCAGCCTGTGTTCAGTATTGACCAAGGGCCTTCCAAAAGAATGAGGCAGAAGCAAAGACGAACAAACATTTAGGACAAAACTAGAACTTCCCCTTTCAAGCTTCAAAGAAAGGAGAGCAAGTAGAAACCCTACAAATGAGCAGAATTACCAGAAATGTTTTCCTCTTTTGTAGCTAGCACCAATACAGCATTGTCTCCTTTGGGGTGAGTGCCTCGTGTTTGTGAGATGTCTCGGAAGAAAAAAAGATGAACAAATTAACACTGTTACCAAAGAATGAAATAAAACCCCTAGAAAAAGGAATTGAAAAGAAGTTTAAGTGGAGTTTATGGAGTGGATGGGGAATGTGCGAGTTAAAGCAGATCTGGTATACAATAAAGAAGTGCAAAGAAAGCAGAAATGTCCTATTTATTTCTTCAGGAAGCATTAACATTGTGTGCTCTGTGGAGATGGGAGAACTCTAAAAACAATCAACTTTTAGCAGAATGAATTTAGACGTTTTCTAAACTGCTCCTCCTGACTGAAAAAAAAAAAAAAAAAAAAAAAAAAAAGGAGGGGAGGGGGTGAGGTCTAAATGTAAGTGCGGGTGGGGACAGTGACTCTTCCACATGAGAAGACCAACAGTGAGGCCCAGGAGCATTTCTTCTGGCTTTGCATGTTGCTCAGCCAAGAAGCTGATCTGTAGCAAATTATTGTAAATGTAAACTCTGAGCTGAAATCTTGTTAGTAGCTACAATTTTAGATTAATGGAAACTCCTAAAATGTCAATAAACACTTTGAAAATAAATAATGTTATATTTGCATAATATGCATAAACTTTTTTGTCTAAAAATTTTTTTAAAATCTGAACATTGTAAGCAGCTGTTCCAAGTAAAAGCAGGTGTTGTCCTGGGTAGGTAGTGTCATGCTGCAATAGGGTAAAAATTCACAGCTAAGTTAACTTCTGTAGCACTCCTGTGCACTTCAGAAAATTGGAAATTTTAGACAAATTTGTGTAATTATTTTCTTCTTTTCTTACTTTTTTGGTATTTGAATGATTTTGCATGAAGTTATTTTACAGTCTACTGTTCACTCGGAGCCCCGAAGAATCATGAGCATGCAGATTTAGATACAATGATGTTTTATATCCCAAGCAACATTTTTTTGTGGTATAAAAATAAAGTTAATGGGACGTAGACTTAGTTTCGAGCAAAATAAAAATAAGTTTGATAAATTAGAAAGTCTGTAAGAACTAATTGGATACTCAGGCCAGATTCTCAGCTTGATGACTTTACTACACTTCGTTGAAGTGAAGGGCTGATGCAGAAGACCTGTTTTTAAATCACCAAAATACCTCAGAATGTGATGTGAAGTTTTCTGCAATGCCAAGAGCTGCAGGAAGGGGTGACAAGTGTGATAATTAAAAAGGAATCCCCCATGAAATCTGGTGCATTAAAGTATTGTGAGAAATAGCACTGAGAGATACAAGGTACCCTACTGACCAGAAATGCTTCATGGTTCACAAAGCAGAACCAGTCTGTCACATGGAACAAACTGGACTATTTGTCAGATAATTGCATGCTATTGACAGGATAGGGACGGTAAAAGGAGAAGAAAGGAACTCAAGAGGTGCGTTGCCATACAGATCCTATAGATTTTCCCATATACCTAGAGAAGCAGCCGCCTTGGTTGCTCAACATTTACCGCAGAGCTTTTGAAGTACCTTGCAGTGCCTGACTGTGTTACTGGCAAAGATCAGTAATTTTCTAACTGATGGGACAGTGGTACAACCATTAAAATGGTTTGTCATGCAAACGATTGGATGTGTAGTAATCCTGCAAATCTTCTGTAGAGTGCATTTAAGACTGATACCGCTAAGAGAAAGTCACTGATCACATACTAGAGGATGCTGGACATCAAATAATATGTCCAAAATTTTGGTAGATTTCCCTTCTAAAATAGCAGGATATAGGATTTACTGAGATTAATTATTATATGAAAGTGCCTTAGCAGATTATTTCAAAGCTCTGGACTGTTGACTCCAGTGATTTAATTTACTGAGATCTCCAGTTTTCTAATATGCTTCGAAATGCTTTTCTGGTATATGCAAACTACCATTGCAGTGTAAACCTTAATGCAACTGTAAGAATGCTGCCTTGATAAAAGATCAATGAAATTAAAAGGATTAAGCTTGGGCCAAATCCGTGACTGCTTTGCTTACTGCAGCACAGAGGAGCTTATGTGGAGCACTAAACAACCTTGTTGCTCCAATTGGGGCTGTCACTGAAAAAAAAAAGTGCTTGCTTTTTTTTTTTTATTTCTTTTTTTTTTTCTTTTTCCTGCCAGCCATTCCAAGAAGGGAAAGGGCACACTTTCATCTTTCACCTTGAAGACAAACTATGTCATAATTTGAAGAAAGCACATGTTGTAATGGAAGGCAGCAGTAGTTCCTTGCAGGGAATTTTTTCAGGTTCATCAGAGCTCTGCTCCAGCTGGTTTTGTGCAAATGCAACTGGATGTCAGCTGAGGGGACAGGGAGAGCGAGGGTGAGTTTAGGAACGGGATGAAGACATACTAAGCTGGAGGAAATTAGCTGGAGGAGTTTCAGGTTAATAGCTTCACAGCTCACCCAATCCAGCAGTAATGTTTATCAGCATCTTCTTCGCAAATTATTTGTTATTGTTCATTTAGAAAGGGATTTCTTGCCTCTATTCTCCATAGGTGCATCTCATGTTGCACTGAGAGGTCTTGGATGCTCTTGTGGGAAATGAACATGGTTTCATTGTCCCTTCCAGGCTCTGCTGCACAGTAGAGTACATCTTCTGTATTTGCATGGGGCAGGGCCATTGGTGCCCCCTATGCACTACTCATCATGTACCCGTCACCCATCCCAGCCTCTCCTGTGGCTGGAGCTCCTGGCCAGCCCACATGCTGCCATAAGCCCTTTTCTCCAGGTATCTGGATCATTCAGGTAGTCTTTCAGAGAGCCTTTTCCCGGCACTCAGTTAACAAATGCAGTACCACAGTGGTAGAAATGCATTGATCTTATTTTATGGAAGGTATTTATTAGGCGGTAGGAATTAATTAAGTTATATTCTTTCTTGATTTTAAGTGAGAGGATAGTTCTTGTACCATGTCTATTTCTTTTGCAACTCTTCTTAAATGAGACTTATACCTGATGAAATTAGTTGGTATCTGTGCAGCAATTCAATGTCAACTTGATTTATTTGTTCTTTACCCTCCTCCCCAAAAAATCCTATGACAAATTAAGTGAAGGTTATATCTTCTTCTACTTTTTGTTGTTGTTGTTGTTGTTGTTATTGTTGCTCTAACTTCAGTGCCAGAGGGTACATCTGTGTCTAATATTCATCATTTCAGTAAAGTATTACACCCTGAGTTATTTCACACCGCACCAACATTTTACAGACACCCGAGTTAATAACATGATCAGTTGCACAATGCTCTAATCCCATCAAATGCTATATCATCCTCATGCTCTCCCTGTCCTTTCAAAACAATAAGCCTCTGGGTCTCCCTCCTGTGTCGTTTCAGACATGCCAGGGAGCCCACACAACCAGTTCACGTTCAGACCCCTGCCGCCGCCGCCGCCGCCACCGCACGCGTGCACCTGCACCAGGAAACCGCCGCCAGCAGCCGACACACTCCAGAGGAGGTCGATGACGACTCGCAGCCAGCCCAGCCCTGCTGCCCCCACTCCCCCCACCAGTACACAAGATTCAGTGCATCTCCATAACAGCTGGGTCTTGAACAGCAACATACCGCTGGAAACCAGGTATGGACCAAACTGCTCTATACAGGTTAAAAAATGTTAAAAAAGAAGGGTTGGAGGCCTGATGTTGGTGTGTGAAGATGGTGGGGAATGCAAGGTCATCATTTGGGACATGCCAAAGCATTTAGATTTGAGGCATGTAGTATAGCCATGCAAGATCATTCTTAATTGATTCATCTAGATTGTCAATGCTTGTAAAAGCATGTGTTTTGCAAAGTTTGGGAAGAGATTGATTTCCTTAATGTGCATAGGTTATATAAGTATGTTAGATGTGTGTGCAGCGAAGATTTGTACTCCCGTACTTGTATGACCATCCCACATTCTCCCAGGGACGTTTTGTAATCAACAAACAGAAGGTTTGTTTAGTTGGTATATTCTGACACTCCTGGAGTAGGTCAGTGTTCCGGACTTGGCTTCCTGTTGATAAGAAACAATGTAATAAAAATAATACTAAGAAAATACTTAATAATACTAAAATAATATTTCCCTCAAGGCATATTTAAACATTTTATTGCACATGTACATAAAGAACATCATTTGATGACCATTTGATCATAGAGGAGTGATACAGGTCCAAGACATGTGTGGAGCATGAAGAGCCTTACATTTAGGAACTAGGGAGGAAGGGTTCAACTGCAGGATCAGCAATAATTTACACTAATACTCTGTTCTGAAAAATAATGGAAAGCAAATACATTATGTATTCAGCAAACCTGTGATTCGGTACCCAAAATTCTACCTGCAGAGATACATGAACACCTTCCTCTGAGTCTTTGACCATAAGCTTTTTCATTCCTGTGAAGTATTAGCTAATTTGATGGCTTTTAACTACTGCTGTGTTTGCTGACTTTATCCCTAAAACAAGCCCTTGAACAACCTTCTTCCTCTTTATTGTGAGCAGAGTTTGGACTAGGGTTTCCTTTAGGTTTTAGCACTGTCAAACATAGGAAGTGCATAACTGTCTGTTAACATGGTGGTTGGTGACATGCAGATGAATGTCTGACATTCAAGTAATCTGAACTAGAGAATGTAAGGCAATATGCATAGAAGCGTTTTGTTGTTAATGCACACATGTCCAATGGCCATTTATCACAATTAATCACTGTGACCTTTTTTTTTTCCTTTATAGGGAGTTTGTTTTTATTTTATTACATAATTTAATTTTAATATACGTCTTTAAACACTTACCTGCTGCTAATTAGAAGTGTCAAATTAAGTGTTTTTTCTCTGATAGGCTGTTAAGTTGAGATTCAAGAATAAGCTGATTCATTTTGCAATAAAACTTTCTTTATTCGTCCTAAGGACAAATCACAAAAAGAATGAAGGAGGATGGAAACTTTTTCCCCAAAAGTGAACACGAACAAAATTTTAGTTCAGCTAGTTCCTCATCTCACTGTGTTTACTCAAAATAAAATCAGAGAGACAAACTGAACGTAATTTTGCAAATACTTGTATTACATTCATTCTTAACTACATTTGTCCAGATTTCAGAACAGAAATTTGTCATTTAAAGTTGAGTCAAAGGAGAACACATTTACCTTATTTACACTGAGGAGTTAAGGACGAAAAGAACAAAAATCAGATAACAGAATAATGGTGAAATAATATACATTGAAAATAATAAAAAGTACAAATTTAAAATGCAAATACTCAATAAGTATCATTGAAATTCTATTTCTTATTAAATGTACTTGAAAAAAAAATCAATATTCAATAGATGGTTGGAATCAGAGCTTCTGTTTACATAATCTTTATAAAGATATATGTCTGCCGTTCATGATGTCACAAGCTTATCTATCTATACTGTCTGCTACACAGAAGACTGCTCGTTAAGCGTTCTGTACCCACTAAGTACCTTTTGATTGTCTTCAGTCAACGCTGAAATAGATCTTATTTAGCCCTTCTGCATCTCTATTCATTATTTTCTCTTCAAACCTCCTTGCTGGGAAAAATACTTTGCAATTTTAAGTGTTCACTTCTGTGTTTTTTTGTTTTTGTTTTTGTTTTGTTTGTTTGTTTTCTGTTTTCTTTGTTGTTATTTTTACAGATTTTAAACTTCTCATAAAGTACATTTTCTAGTGTAATATCTGTATATCTACTTGCTTCTGTAATCTATATAATTGGATAGTAATGAAAGGGCTGTGCAGTGGATTAGTTTTTCAGACTGGAAACCATACTAGGGGCAACCCTTTGGCAATTCACTAACTGGGAATTTTCCATGTTCCTAACCTTCAGTGGTTGTTTCAGCTGATTTCATGCACCCTCCAGCAGCTCGCTGCAGCCTCCCCTGAAGCTGGCTGAAAGGCTGCATAATCTGAAAGTAGAATCTGCAAGACTGTTCCCAAGATGTACCTGCAGTATATGTGGAGACAAGTGATACAGCAGGGGAACTTTGTAATAAAGGACATCTGTGATCACCACTTCTCAGAAGTCTCTAGTACATGGCATATCCTTAGAGAAAAAGAAGGGCTCGCTGTTTGTTTTTTCTGCCTTTAACAGGGAGTGATTCAGCCAGAATTGAACAAATACTTTGGTCTAATACGTGGATTCTCTTGCCTTCCTCCTGCATTAATGTTTAGCTGTCCATTAAAAACAATCCTGCAAAATAAAGGGAAGCATGTCAATGGCAGCTGTATTTCTGTGCTAAATCTTTAACAGTACAAAATCTACCTAATATGTGCATACTAATATGTCTAAGCAGAATTTTTTGTTGTTGTTGTTTTTTAATTTGGCACATTTGCAATCAAAAAGACGATTTAGAGACAGTAATTTATTCCCTACTGTAATAACTGGACAAAAATCAGAATGCACATGTTCAGCTTTTCTATCCAACCATATCTCCTGTTAATCCACAAACAGCACATGTGTTTGCATGGTTTAGCTCCAGCCACGTAGTATGAGACACTTTCCAGGCAGGCACAGATTCCCTAGAACTAATCATGTGACTGTAAATCCTGTTCACCCTAGATAATGAGAAGTGAAGCAAGTTTATGAGGCTGCTCGTGAAGATAATGCATCATATTTATATAACAGAAAAATCTGTAGTTCTGAAAATGTTTAACATACTCTGATTAGAGATGTATTTGTGCACAATTGGTTTTTGAAACCTATATTAGGTGAAAGGGGCTGTAGTAAAGACGTTTAATGAGGTCTGTGTTCTAAGAGTTTTTTTGTAGAGTAAAACCTGGTCATATTTTAATTGAAAAGGGCAAATTAGGAGCTCAGTTTCATCTAGAGGTGTTATATGCATGGACCGATCCACAAACCAGTCATGTCAGGACTCGACTTTCTGGCCCAGCTGTTCACTGACCCAGTCTTGAGCTCTATCATTGCCAAGGCCAGTTCTCGGCCTGGTGGTGCTTCTGATTGTAAGCAGCCTAAATGAACACAGGAATTAGGAACATCTTAAAACTTCAGAATACAAGTTATAGAGTACATGTAGCTCTAGAAATTGGAGAAAAGCTGGATCTGCAGGAGATGTCCCAGCCCACACTGCCGGCTGACCATGCTGCAGCCTTGGGCACTGCAACGTGCCCGTAAATGCAGATGCAGGCTCCGTCTGTATGCATGCACGCCGTTTTGAAAACTACTTACTCATTATTAAAATGACTTACGAGAATGTAGCGATTTTATTGTGTCACACAGAAAACTAATTCGTAAGTGTGGCCGGAAAAAGACTGCAAGGATCTCTCGCACTACATGAAAACACAGGAAACATCAATTCTCTGTTTTAGGATAATGCTATTGGGTTCTTACATAAATTGACTTTTTTCTACGCCCCCAGAATAGAGTACTCGCAACCTATTGCCTATTCTCTCCATTTCCACTAAAATAATTGTTTTTTTTCAGGTTTCATAGATACTTTGCTCTAATGTTTCAAATCTTATGATTTACAGTGTAATACATTGTCATTATCTGTGACAGCCCCATCTGAACGTAGCTTACTGCATTTTATGCAGTATGTATTAAATCCTGACAATTCAAAGGAGTGTTTTTCATTTTCTCCATGCCCTTTTAGTTGACTCAGTGTTTGTTTCCATATATCTTGCATTTTTGCATTTGTCTGTTCTGGTGTTTGCTTTTTTTTTTTGTTTTTTGTTTGTTTTCACTTAAATCTAATTCCCAAATCAGGAAAAATAAATGTAACATCAAATATGGATTATTATCTGGCATTACTCCTGATGCTCCTTACAGTATGTTACACTCCACTTGTAGATAAACCATTGGATGTGCTTATTTTGAGGAAAGTTATGTTTTGCATTTAGATCACCCAGCCATTAGATCTTTTATTTTTTCTGTCTGAATACCAAAATTTCCCTCATGTTGATTTTATGTCAATACATTCAATTTTAGTCCTGTTTTGTGCTTCAGTGTTTTACATATTTGCTTGTTCCTTCCTTTTTTAAATCAAATTTCTTTCTAGTTCCCCTAACCCATTTAGCAGTGTTGGCAGTAAGGTTAATGCTGTGCTGAATGGACTGAAATCTCCCTTCAATGCACTGGTGATGAGCCAAATACTGTGAAGAAGACAGCTTAATTTAAGCAATCTTATCACCATGGTAATAGCTCCTCTAAAGGGACAGTAAGGTACCAGACCATGAACCTGAGATTCAATTATCATTAATTTATATAAAACTTTGAAGTACTAAAATACTAGATTAATAGGAGAAGCATTTGGGGTTCAAGGCAGTTGTGATTTTTAGTTACTCTTCAGCAATATTTCAGAGCCCTAAAGTTTGATTATGTCTTTAAATGCTTAAAGACTTAGACGGTTTTGGAGTTAAAAAGTGTATTTAGCTTCTCATATAGATGAGGTCCTTCAGTTTTGTATTATATAGTTATTTAAGGTGCCTAATTAAGACTCTGGGTTTCTGTTTTCCTAAAAATATCATCTTGATAATGATACTTTTTAGAACCAGGAAGATCTTAGCAACTATCACTTAGCAAGAGACACATTCAGTAGTATGGTTTTCCCTTGTTCTTTTTTAATCAAGCTCATAATT